TTTTTGGGTCCAGAGGGGACAAAGTCTCACTGTCACCCATCCTGGAGTGCAATGGCGCAATCTCGGCTCACTGCAATCTCCCTCTCCCAGGTTCAAGCGATTCTCCTGCCTCACCCTTCTGAGTAGCTGGGATTACAGGCATCTGCCACCATACCCAGCTAATTTTTGTGTTTTTAGTAGAGACAAAGTTTCACCATGTTGGCCAGGCTAGTCTCGAACTCCTCTCCTGACATCAGGTGATTCGCCCACTGCAGCCTCCCAAAGTGCTGGGATTATAGGCATGAGCCACCGCACCCAGCCTTTACTCTTTTTTGTTGCTAGATAACATTCCCTTAAATTGATATAATACATTTGGTTTATCCATTTATCAGTTCATAGATATTTGGATTTTTTTCTACTTTTGGCTATTTTGAATACTGCTATTGTGAATATTAGCATAGAAGTTTTTCTTTGAACATGCTTTTATTTCTCTCGGGTATAATCTAAATTGCTGAGTATTGTAGTAACTCTATGTTCAGCCTTCTGAAGAACTGCCCAGCTGTTTTCCAAAGTGGTTGTACAATTTTTACATTCTCACCAGCAATGTATGAGGGCTTCGGTTTCTCCACATCCTCACGAACACTTATCTGCCTAGTGGGTATGAAATTATTTTCTCATTGTGTCCTATTATTCTTTTTTGACACTGCATCCCTATTATTCAATGAATGTATGAAAAGGCATTGGTTTTTATGTGTGTTTCTCAGTGTACAATTATAGTAAACATACCTTATTTTTAGTGTCGTTATCCACTAAACCAAATAAATTATTACTGTTATCATTATTTTGAGACAGGATCTGGCTCTGTCACCCAGGCTGGAATGCAGTGGCATGATCATGACTCACTGCAGCCTCCTCCTGGGCTCAAGCAATCCTCACATCTCAGCCTCCCAAGTAGCCTGTACCACAGGCATACACCACCATGCCGCCTTCTTCTTCTTCTTCTCATTATTATTATTATTATTATTATTGGTAGAAACAGGGTTTTGCCATGTTGCCTAGCCTGGTCTCAAACTCTGGGACTCAAGTGATCCTCCCTCCTCATCTTCCCAAAGTGCTGGGATTACAGGCATGAGCCACCATGCCCAGCTGTAAACTAAATAAACTATAAATGTAATGCTTGTCTGTTACTTGTTAGCTAAAATATTACTCAACAAATATTTATTTTAAAAATGACCTAATGCATTTTCTTGAATATTATTGGTTTTTAACATTTTCATGTGGTTATTGACCATGTCTTCTCTTGGGAATTATGTATTCCTATTCTTTGTTTTTCTATAATGTCTTTTTTCTTACTAGTTTGTCAAAGCTTTTGATATAATACAGACATCAGGTCTTTTGTCTTAAAGTGTATTGCAGATGTTTTCTCCCTAGTCTCTTGCTTGTTTTTTCACCTTGTTTTTGATGTCTTATGTTGAAGTTTTAAATTTTTATATAATCAAATATGCTAATCTTTTTCTTTCAGATTTCTAGAGTTGTGTGTTGTTTAGGAATAACTTACCCCTCTTAAGAGTTAACTATTAAGAGTTAAATATTTATTTTATATTTTGAATCTTTGTGATTTCATAACAAAATATATCTAAGGTTCCGTTTTCCTTTAAGTACTGCTGTGACCATACTCTGCAGATTTTGACCTGTGATCTTCTCAGTGCCTTTCATTTCAAAATAGTCTAATCACCTTTTATTTACATTTACATAAGAGTTCATAAGAAGAGTGTTCTTGTTTTTTATGAGGTTTTTTTGCAACAGTGTCTCTTTCTGTCACCCAGGTTGAAGTATAGTGGCATGATCATAACTCACTGTAACCTCAAATTCCTGGGCTCAAAAGATCCTCCCATCTCAGCCTCCTGAACAGCTAAGACTATAGGCATGAGACACCATGCCTGGCTAATTTTTTTTTTTTTTTTGTAGAGACAGGGTCTTGCTATGTTGCCCAGGCTGAAATTGAACTGGGCTCAAGCAATCCACCAACCTTGGCTTCCCAAAGCACTGAGATTATAGGTGTGAGCCATTGCACCCAGCTGAGAAGAGTATTTTAAAACTTGCTTTTGTTATTTGTTTTAATTTCCATTGCATTATGGTCAGAGAACATGATGTGTAATTTCTATTTTTTGGAATTTATTAAATTTCCTTTATGGCTTACCCATAAAGGAAAATAAAATAAAATTTGTTGTTTAGTTTCAGAGTTCTGGATACTTTTTGTATTTGGTTTCTCCATCTCTGAAGGGTATATTAAATCTTCCCTATGATTTTGATGTACCTGTTTCTTATAATTTGAGCAGCTTTTGTTTTAGATATTTTAATCTGTATTATTAGGTATATAAACATTCATTGCTATTAAATCTTCTTGATGGATTGTACATTTATTTTATCATTGGAAAATCAACTTACTTGATTTTTTTAATGCTTTGTCCTAAAATTCCTCTTTATATTGCTAACTGTAACATTCTTTTTGTTAGAATTTGCTGAGATATCTTTTCTACCCCCTTTTTCTTTATCCTTTATTTTGATGTTTGTTTTAGGTGAATCTCTTGTAAATAGATACTGGCTAGAATTTTTTTGAACCCTAAGCACATACAGTTTTTGTTATTAAATAGGGACATTCCAACCAGTCACATTTATTGTGAATAACTAATACACTTGGACTTTGTCTGTGCTAGCCAGTTAGTCCTGCCAGCAATGAATGCTCTTCACCCTGATCTTTGGCTGGCTCTTTGTTATTTGGATCTCAGCTTAAATTTCACCTCTTCAGAGTGATTTTTTATGACAGACTAATCTCAGGTAGTCACCTCATTGCTTTCTGTCCCATTACTGTTTTAATTATCTGCATAGCATTTGTCACAATCCTGTTTTTCTGAGAGCTCAGACTTTGCCTGTTTTGTTCAAAACTGGTGCTTAGTACTTAGTGCACGTAGAAGCACATAAAAGATGTTCAAAAATACTTGTTAAATGAATATTGAATACATCCTTCTTTTTTTATTCTTTAGTATATGTCATATACATTGATTAGATATAGTGATATTCATTATATTTCCTATATTTTCCTTCCTTTCCCTTATACCTTCTCTTATGCTAGATTGATTATTTTTACTCATCTCCCTCCTTGATATTCAGATATTTTACTCCCTTCCTCTCTCCTTCCTTCCCTCTGTTGTTATTACCTTTATATTTTAATGGTAATGTAAATCTGTGTTCTCTGTCAACATACCAAGAACTAAGCTGCTTCCATTATTTTACTTTTTAATTCTAGTACTGTTTCCCCTTGCTCCATTCCACTCCTCATCAAGATGAGTATGTTGGCAATGCTTTCGCTTCCTCACTTCACTCTCCCACTCCCAGCTTCTGGGCTTTGTGGGAGAAATTTTAGATTCTTTTTAAGCTTTTCTTTATGATATGTAGTCTTTTTTCAAAAGCTTTAACTTATCATTTACAGTCACATTATTGTCAACTATTTAGATTTGACCACACATTGTGTTAGATTTATTGATTGTATCTACCTCAGTCTTAAAATCTTTGTTTTGAGTTTCTTTTTGGCCAGTGAAATTCCTTGAGGAATTTCCTCAGAAAGAGTAGTGTATTAATTTCTCATTGCTGCTGTTACAAATTACCACAGACTTAAAACAACAGAAATTTATTGTCTTATAGTTCTGGAGACCAGAAGTCTAACATGAGCTTATGGGGCTAAAATCAAGGTGCCAGTAGGGCTGTGTTCCTTCTGGAGGCCTTGGGGAAGAAACTGTTTTCTTGCTTTTCCTAGCTCCTAGAGGCTTCCTGTGTCTTCAGAACCATCAATGTAATATCCCTCTCCCTCTCCCCCTCCCTTTTCCCTCTCCCCCTCCCTTTTCCCTCTCCTCCTCCCTTTTCCCTCTCCTCCTCCCTTTTCCCTCTCCCCCTCCCTTTTCCCCCTCCCTTTTCCCACTCCCCCTCCCCCTCCCTTCCCTTCCCCCCACCTCTGCATTTGGCCCATATGAATAATTCACAATGATCTTACCCTCTCAAGATCTGTAATCCCATCTGCAAAGTCCCTTTAACCATGCAAGGTAACATGGTCACAGGTTTTGCTGATTATATTAGCCAGGCATGGTGGCAGGCCCTGTACTTCCAGCCACTTGGGAGGCTAAAGTAGGAGAAGCTCTTGAACCCAGGAGGCAGAGTTGCAGTGAGCTGAGATCTTGCCACTGCACTCCAGCCTGGGCAACAGAGACTCTGTCTCAAACAAAACCAAAAAAAAAGGTTTTGATGATTAGAACATGTACATCTTTGGGGAGCCATTATTCTGCTTACAACAAGTGGTACCATTTGATCATCCCTAATCTGAAAATCCAGAATGCTCCCAAATCTGAAACTTTTTAAGTACCAATATGCTGCCACAATGGAAAATTCCACACCTGACCTCATGTGATGGGTTGTAGTCAAAACTTTGTTTCATGCACAAAGGTATTTAAAAATATTGTGCAAAATTCCCTCGGGCTGTATATGTAAGATATATTTGAAATTGAAGGTCTTTATGAAGCATAATGAATTTTGTGTTGAGACTTTGGTCCCATACCCAAGATGTTTCCTTATATATATGCGAATATTCTAAAATCCAGAATTTGAAATACTTCCAGTCTTAAGCATTTGGGATAAGGGATTCTCAACTTGTATAGTGTTTGAGTTCTTGTGTGTCTGAAAAGGTCTGGGTGTTGCTCTTCTTTAGCCTCCTTTTGGGCTTTATGTCTTCCCTTTTAGGGGTGAAGGTGAGCTGTCCTCATTTTAAGGAAAATTGTTGTATGTTGTAAAAGTCTACAGTTGTTTTTGTTTGGAAGTTCAAATTTGTTTAGGGGACTGTTTGTGAATAGAGTAGCTAGAAAGTAGAACATGCCAATTTTTAAGCCCTTCTTCTCAGCTCCAAACTATCCCTCTATACTCTTCTCTGATCCTACAATTGGAATCCACAAACTACATTTCTTCTTTCCACCTGGCTCCCTGTTAGGTTCTGCCAATAGACAGACACTGGAAGTCAGAAGGAAGGAGAAGGGACTTGTTCCGTCCTGTTTACCCGCAGTTCCTCACTCCAATACCAGATTCAGTGACCTTTCTACCTTTTTTAGTCAGTTATAGGATTCTAGAATTAGGAGCATTTTCTTTGCAAAGTTTGTAAATGTTGTCTCACTTCTTTTTGCTTCCAGTGAAGGATATATAATGATTTTCCCTTCTTTATGGACATTTGGTATTAAGAAATTTCACTAGTATAGAACTTATTACTTCTCTGTGATATTTTATAAGCCCTCTGAATCTGAAAACTCAAGTATTTTTCTTTTTTTGACAGAGAAATCTTTTGGAAGATGATTCAGATGAAGAAGAGGACTTTTTTCTGTAAGTTTTTTTTTTTTTTTTTACATCTTTATTAGGGTGTAATTGACAATAAATGCATATATCTAAAGTATACAGTATGCATTTTGGCAGACATACAGTAGTCTCCCTTTAGTTCTCCCTTATACAGGTGAGATGCATTCCAAGATCCCCCTTTGGATGTGTGAAACCACAGAGAGTAGCAAACCTTATATATTTATGTTTTTTTCCTATACATACATACCTATCATAAAGTTTGATTTATAAGTTAGGCACATAAGAGATTAACAGCAATAGCTAATAATAAAAATAGAACACATTTAACAATATACTATAATAAAGCTTTTGTGAATATGGTCTCTCTGTCTGTCTCTTAAAATATCATACTATATTCACCCTTCTTGTGATGATGTGAAATAATAAAATGCTTGCATGATGAGATGAAGTGAGGTGAAGGGTGTAGACACTGCAACGTAACATTAGGTACTATTGACCTCTGACGATATGTCAGAAAGCGAATCATCTTTTTTAGTTGGTCTTGGATCATGAAGCCAAGAAGATGATAACTACATCTTCTTGGGGTGGGTAGCATATACAGCATGGATACGCAGGACAAAGGGAGGATGATTCACATTTTAAGTGGGACAAAGTGGGGCAACGTGAGGTTTCATCATGCTACTCAGAATGGTGCACAATTTAAAACTTGTTTTAAATTGTTTATTGAATTTTTTATTTCTGGAATTTTCCATTTAATATTTTCAGACCACAGTTGACCATGGGTGACTGAAACTGTGGAAAGCAAAACTGTGGGTGAGGGGGAGCTTACTGTACTGTATACCTGTGACATCATCACCAGAATCAAATAATGAACCCCCTATTGCCCTGAAAGTTTCCTCATAACCCTTGGTAATCTACTGCTTTCCCAGTCCCTAGGCCACCAGTGGTGATCTGCTTTCTGTCACTGTACTTTGTATTTTTTTTTTAATTTTTTTTATGAATGAAATCATGCAGTATGCCCCATTTTTAAAAGCTGGCTTTAGTCAGTGTGGTGTTTGAGATTCATCCATGTGTTAATAGTTGGGTTTTAAAATTTTCTGGGTAGTATTCCACTGTATGAATGCTGCAGTTCATTTATGCATTCACTTGTGTGTGGATTTTTGGGTTGTTTCTACTTTTTGGCTCTTACATATAAACCTGTGTGCAGGTTTTTGTTTGGATACATGATTTATTTCTCTTGTAAAGTCAGGAGGGACAACATTATTGTGAGAGTTTTCTCTGGGGATTGATGTAGAGGGATATATGCCTGAGATGAAACATTTACCTCTTACTTTGTTAAGATAGTGTGGCTTTTCTTGTAGAGGCTGGGATTTTTTTTTTTTTTTTTCTCAACATGAAAACATTTTATAAAAGTTAATGGAAACCTGGCCAGGCACAGTGGCTCATGCCTGTAATCCCAGCACTTTGGCAGGCCGAGGCAGGTAGATCACCTGAGGTCAGGAGTTTGAGACCAGCCTGGCCAATACAGTGAACCATCTCTACTGAAAATGCAAAAATTCCCCAGGCATGGTGGTGTGCACCTGTAATCCCAGCTACTCGAGAGGCTAAGGGAGGAGAATCACTTGAACCCGAGAGGCGGAGGTTGCAGTAAACTGAGATCGTGCCACTGCACTTTAGCCTGTTGTGCCACTGTACAACAGAGCAAGACTCCATCTAAAATAATGGGGAAAAAAATGCTTACAAGATAGATAGCAGCAAATCCAGTAATAGAAAATAGTATCATTTTTGGCAGAATGCCAGATAATGTGGGGAGATAATTTTCTGTGGGTGACAAGATTTCCATAGAGTCACAAAACAAATTGCCTACAATGCTACTTGTAGTGAAAAGCTTTAGACTAGAGCAATGACTACTCCTCAGAAAGGAACTCAGGTTTTTTAATTGTTTGCTGATTGATTTACTGACTGACTGAGACAGGGTCCACTATGTTGGCCAGGATGGTCTTGAACTCCTGACCTCAAGTAATTCTCCTGCTTCAACTCCCCCACCAGAGTAGCTAAAATTAATAGCACAAGACTCTACACCCAGGAACTCAATATTGAAAAGAAGGCCAGATGCTTTGGGTAAATAAATGGTTACGTGAATGTAAGTTAGTTACCCTTGTGAGAAACACTACCTCTTTGAACCAACAATTTACCACTGGAGGTCAATTCCCAAATAATGCTGTATACCTTCCAAAGGGCCTGACAGCCAAACCAGCACACCTGTTTAAAATGCAGCTTCCAGCCGCTGTGCTGCTGTGTGTTAAAGGGAGACACCAAGTAAAGTTCTTGAAATAATTTTTAAAAATTGACATGCATGTTCATAGTAGCAGTATTCACAACATCCAAAAGGCAGAAACAACCCAAATTTTCATCAACAGAAGAATGAATAAAATGTGGAATATACATAAATGGAATTTATTCAACCTTACAAAGTCTGGAAGGAAATTCTGAAATATTCTAAAACATAGATGAACCTTAAAGACTTTATGCTAAATGAAAGAAGCCAGTCATAAAAGGAAAAATATTGCACGATTCCACTTACACAGGTACCTGGAGTAGTCAAATTCATAGACACACAAAATAGAATGGTGTTTGCCAGGGCCTTCAAGGAGAGGGGAATGGTGAGTTAGACAGTTTCAGTTTTGCAAGATGAAAAAGTTCTCGCGATGAATGGTGATGATAGTTCATTAAGTGAATTACTTAATGCCACAGAACTGTATGCATAAAAATGGCTAAAATAGTAAATTTTATGTTATATGTATTTACCACAGTAAAAATTTATTGACCCTATATGCGTGGCTCTGTTTCTGGACTCTATGTGTCTTTCTTACATCAATACCACAGCAATCACTATCTTAAGTACTGCAACTTTATAGTAAGTTGTGAGGTAGTGTAGTGTATATCCTTAAACTTTGCACTACCTTTTCAAAGTTCTTTTGGCTATTGGAGGCTCTAAGCATTTTCATATAAAGTTTAGAATCATCTTGTCAGTTTCTACAAAAAGCCTGCTAGAATTTTGGTTGGGATTATAATGAACCTATAGATCAATTTGGGGATAATTAACGTCTTAACAATATTTGGTTTTCTGACCCATTAATGGCATATCTTTTTATTTATTTGGATACTTAATTTCTCTCGAAAGTATTTTGTAGTTTTCAATGTCTAGTAGTTGCATTTTTTCTTTGTCAAATTGATCCTTAAGTATTTAATAATTCCTGATGCTACTAAAAATGACATTTCAAGTGGTGTTTCACAATTTTAAAATGTTGTACTCATTGCTAGTATAAATATTATTTTTGTAAATTAACCTTGTATTCTACAATCTGGCTAAACCCATTTCGTAGTTTTGGTAGTATTCTTACAGATTGTATTGGATTTTTTACATAACAATTATGCTTTCTGCAAATAAAGTTTTATTTCCTCCTCATCTATATGTTTGCTTTTTATTTCTTTTTCTTGCCTTACTGGTCTGACTAGAACATCCAGTAAAATATTGAGTACAGGTGGTGAGAGAGAATGTCCTTGCTTTGTTCCTGATCTCCCTTAGGGGAAGCATTCATTCTTTCATACTAGGTTTAATTTTCATTGCATGTTGTTATTGTTGTTGTTTGTAGCTTTATCTGGTTGAGGAAGTTTCCTTCTATTCCTGGTTTGTGAAGAGTTTTTATCATTAGTTGATGTTGGATTTTATCAAGCATTTATTTTATATCTATTGAGATGATCATATGGTTTTTCTTTTTTTTGTCTGTGGTGAATTATATTGATTGAAATTTTAAACCAACGTTGCATTCCTGTTATAAACCATACTTGGTCATCATGTATTATTCATTTAAAACATTTTTGAAATCAGTTTGTTAAGAATTTTTACATCTGTGTTCATTAGAGGCATTGGTTAGTTGATAGTTATGTCTTTTTCTTGTGTCTTTACCTGGTTTTTGTGGTAGATTCTTATGGGCCCCAGATAATGAGTTAGGAAAGTTATGTCTTTTTTAGTTTTCCAGAAGAGTTTGCATACAATTCATATTTTTTCTTTATTAAATGTTTGGTAGAATTCACTACTGAACAAATCTACTCCTGGAATTTTCTTTGGGGGATTTTTTTTTTAAATAATTTTTGACCCACAGAAGAGTTGCATAGATAGTATAGAGAGTTCCTATTTATCTTTCACTTAGTTTCTGTTAATAAATCTTACATAACCATGATACATTTGTCTGTAGTGATGTTCCCTCTTCCATTCCTATTACTAATTTATAGGATCGTAAAATAGGATTTACAATTTTTTTTCTCTCTTTTTTCCTGATCAGTCTGCCTAGAAGTTTATCAAGTTTTAATTTTCAAAGAACCAGCTTTTGATTTTGTGTTTCTCTATAAGTATTTTGAAGTCCCATTACTTGATAGATGAAACAGACATAGCTGCTGCTTTTTTTAAAACCTACCATGCAGATAATTTTAATTCATTAATTTTCAGATTCTATTTTACTTTATAACTACCTCACTTAGACTGCTTTTCCTTGTTTTTCAGTTGACCGGTTCTTGTAAGTTCTTGCCTACTTTTTAGGAATGGTCTCTGGCTCAGAATATTAGTTTTCTCTATGAAATTCAATGTTTAAAGTCATTTTGGAATGGAATACTGTTCCAATATTCTAAGGCTTAGTTGGAGTTTTAAAGACTTTAAGGAAAAAGCTTAGAGGAACTAAGGCAAGATGATATATTCACACTTACACATTATATTAAATAAGTTCCAGTAAACGGTTTTTTTTCCAAAAATTTTTTATCAATTACTCTTTTTTTACCTCCTTTAGAAATTGCTGTATGTCCTGAAATTTAAGAACCTAGTTTCTTTTGCTTTTTTAGTTTATATCTTATACTCTATCTCCAGAAGAATCATAATTACTTTAAATATCCAAATGTTTTCAAGAACATTAAAATGGATTGGTAAGATGTGATATACACTCAACAACAATAAGGAGATAATAATTTGAGTAATGTTAATTTTTTAAAATTTCTTGCATTTCCCTTTTGCTGTGTTGATAAGTTTAAGATGAGTAATCAAAAATACTTAAAAACTGTTAGTGTTTTGAATGAATTTTTCGCTCTATCCATTTTTGTTAATCAGCATTTCACTTTGTAGTTTCCTCATTTCATTATATCCACATTCAAAGTGAATTGCGCTTTTAGCTCTACAATTGACCATAAAGATATTAATTTTCATTGGCAGTTAAGTAGTTAGGATATTTCAGAGTTTAATGATCAGAACAAATTCTGTATTAGTTTGTTATATAAGATAATATAAACCTTAATTTCTCTGAAAGTTTTAACATTCAGAAGAATTAGCTTAACTATGACTAGAAGTAAGTACCAATGAAGTAAAGACATGATTACCTATTACTCAGTTTCACCAGTATCAGTAAAATGTGGTCCCTTATGATAAATGACTGATTCATGTTTAGAGTTCAGTATTTGTATATACTTTCTATCTTTTGTTTGCCTTGTTTTAATGCTATCACTACTAACATGTACTTGGTATGTACTTGTTTGCAGAAGGGGACCATCTGGACCGAGATTTGGACCTAGAAATGATAAAATTAAGCAGTAAGTTTTCTTCATTTGTTTAAATAATTAGCATGTTTCTATGTAGACTAGAGACTGGTGAACTGCAGCCTGTGAGACAAATCTGGCTGCGGCCTGTTTTTGTAAATAACGTTTTACTGGACATAGCCATGCCCATTTGTTTTCATATTATTGATAAGTACTTTCAAGCTACAGTAGCAAAGTTGAGTAGTTGGGACAAAGCTATGGCAGATTTTATGGCTCACAAAAATCTAAAATATCTGCTAAGTGTCTGGTTCTTTACAGAAAAAAGTTGTTGACCCCGATGAAGACTAAATACAACTGCTGGGTTATAAAAACCTAATTCATCTTATTTTATATACTAAATATAACTGCTGGTTTATAAAATCCAAAGTCTTTTTATTTTCTCAGAATTACAGCTAAGGAAATGCAGGATTGTTGGTTTCTTTGATTGCCTATGTCAAATCCATTTATTTAGCATAGTATAAAGGTCTATTTTTGTTTTAAAATTATTCCTATTTTCAGAATGATAATAAAGGTAATATTTGTTGATGTACAGCATGTTTTTATCTACTTCCAGAATTTTTTCATATCTCTTATCATAATCCATATATTGATCTAAGTTTTATGGCTAATTAATTTGTGGCTTAAAACCTTTGCTGTGTATACTATTTGGTGATAGATGATAGGGATATGGTGCTATAATGAATGTGTCTAATGTTGAAAAGATAAGAGTACTGACAGGAGAGGATAAGGAATGGACAGAGCAGTGAGTCATTTGAGGAAGGCTCTGGAACTGACCAAGCTATGAATACCAACTGGGGAAGGTGAATTGCATGGCTCAGGTTCAAGACCTAAGGAGGGATAATAGTCACTACCCTAATCCTGGTTATAGATGGCACACTGTGGGAAGGGTTCTATAATGGAGTACCTGGTTATTGGTGAGATACTTGTGCTTTATTTAGGTAGCTGTTGGTGTGAAGAAATATTTCCATACTTAGCCTAATTCTAACTAATGGATTTTGAGATATGGAACCAAACAACCAACAAATGATTACAAGTACTAGACTGGGTGTATTAGTTTTCTATTGCCGTGTAACAAATTACCATGAATTTGGCAGTTTAAAACAAGACACATTTATCATCTCACAGTTTCCTTGGGTCAGGAGTTCAGGCATTTCTTAGGTGGGTCTTTTACTCAGGTCTAACAAGATGGCAGTCAGTGTTTCACCAGGTATGACCAACTCAGGTAGTTATCAGAATTTATTTTCTGCAGCTATAGATTTCATGATGCTTGCTTCTTCAAGGCCAGTAGAAGAGAGAATCTGTACTGTTTCAAGTCTCTGATTTGACTAGAGATATAACAAGCCACTTTTAGATGCAAGTTATCACTTGCATAGTAAAAGGAAGAGTAGCCAAAGTTAGTAGCTCTCAGGGTCATTGTCGTACATACCAAAAATAATGATACAGCTGTGTGCAGTGTTTCACACCTGTAATCCTAGTACTTTGGGATTCTCCTTTAAATGAGGATTGCATGAAGCCAAAAGTTTTGAGAGCAGCCTAAGCAGCAAAATGAGACCCCTTTCTCTTAAAAAAAAAAAAAAAAAAGACGGCAGGGCGGGGGGAGGGCGCCTATGGCTGCAGTACAAATTGTGGAGATACCCTATTGCAAGCAAAGGAGCTATTTCTAGACTATGGTTTTTATAGTCTTCAGATGTAGTCTGCAGAAAGTTTATACCTCATCAGAACCTGGGAGGTGATAAACTGTCTTATGATAGTCTCATAAGGGAAACAGGGAGGTGGATGGAAGGAGGCCTCATGAGCCACTCATTCTCATATTCTCAGGGAGATCACAAGCATTCTACCAATACTTAAATTAGCTGTAGTTCAAGCCTGTATGGCATGTGTGTATGCCAGTGTGTAATGTCTGAGCCATTCTCCTGCACTGAGCCAGAGTGGCTTTTGTATCCACTCACATGTTCTCTCATACCTAAGCTGTCACTGGAGAAGAGGGCTCCACTGATGACACACCTATTTTTTTTGTCCTGCCAGTATGCTTTCTTACCTGTCTGATATCCTTCTGAAGAGTGAACCTAATAAGGATTGTTGCCGATTGGGGTCTTTTGATTTTCCAGCTGAATCCCCAAACCACCACCAGTTTTACAGAATAGGCATTAAAGAATATATGTCTATGTTAGTAAATGCGAAACACACATGAATTTGTATGTGTATACTTATGCATTAAACTATTAATATAGTAACTTTGGTGATCACAGAATTTTAGAATAGTAAGGGATTGTTAAGTATAGTGTTTCTTACTCTAGAGCTGAAAGCTTGCTGGATTTAGTTAGAAGAAGGTCATTGATAAAGCATGCAAATTAAACCTTGACGAATGCTTATCTAAGCAGGGCATGACTCCCCAGTGTGCCCAAGATGGAGGAGCACAACTTGCCACAGAACTCAGCCAAAGACAAATCTCTGGCATTACTTTGGTACCCAAAACTGCTAACACTGGTCAGTTTCTTTAGTTAAGCTATTATTACCACTTAATTTATAACATTTCTATACAGAGTATTTCCTACTGCATAGATTAGTAACATCGTTGCTTTCTTTGAACTTGATTGAACACAGTTATTAATGTTGATAACAGATTGATTCTACAAAAACCTGACATCACTTCCTAAGAAAGACTTTTCTTGAGGAAAATTTTTAAATATTCATATGACTACATAAAATTTATGCTTCTCTTTGGAATGTTTCCTTTGCTTTTTAAATTTTGTTTTGTTTATAAAGAGAGTTTGTTCAAGCATAAAGTATAAGGATGGACCACCTGGAAATACCAGCTCCAAAGGAATGAAATTTGTGTTCCAAAGTAGGGAAGATTTCATTTATATAAGTAGACAGGAATTTTTAGCAGGATTACATTTCTTTTGCTTTTAAATTAAATAATAGCATTATAAATGCCACTCTAGTGAATTGTAGACATTCTGTGTTAGGGGTAGGGAATCTCCTAACTATAGCCTTGGTCAGACCAGCTTAACTTTTATAAGATTCTCTCCTTCAACTCCCACCCCAGGGAATGTTCCACGGTATAACAGCAATATATATATATATATATATATATATATATATATATATATATAGTTGCAAAAATTCAGCCCAACTTTAAAACTTCTTTTGTCAGCAGTACCTTAAAACACCAGAAGATGGGGATATTAACTATGAAAATAAATACTTTCTTTCAGGAGTTTTTTTGTTTTTGAAAGAGACCTTGCTCTGTCACCCAGGTTGGAATGCAGTGGCACAGTAACAGCCTACTGCAGCCTGAAACTCCTGGGCTCAAGTGATCTTCCACCTCAGCTCCTGAGTAACTGGAAACTTCAGGCATGCACCACCATGCTCAGCTAATTTTTTATAGAGACAGGGTTTCCCTCTGTTGCCCAGACCGGTCTCAAACTCCAGGGCTCAAGGGATCTTCCGACCTCAGCCTCCCAAAGTTCTAGGAATACAGACATGAGCCACTGCACCTGGCCAATATCTTCTTTATAAAATAAGGAGTGTATATTGCAAAGCATGAACTTTTTTCTTAACCAAAGAGTACCGACATTTATCAAGTATGTGCTATGTGTTAGGCACTATGCTAAGTGTTTGAAAAACACTATCACATTTAATTCTCACAAATAAGGTAGAGATTATCATCTTCATTTTAAAGGTGAGAAAATAGGAGGCTAAAACAGGCTTGCAAGGCGAATTCCAAAGTCACATAAGTAGTAAGTGATACAGTTGTATTGCAAACCCAGGTCTGTCTGAATATGGAACCCAGGGGCTCAACACTATAGCATACAGCTTCTCTGTTGGTAATTGGAATAGAGCCATTTCAGGAACACAGGTGCTGTCAGACTCTAAGAGGATTTAAAACAGTATTGAAAATGTCTTTTCCTCATTATGTTCTTTCTCATGTCTTTTATTCTCTCATGTGAATCACCTTTAACTGGCCATGATATAAAATCTCCACTCTTCCTTTGCAAACTTGCTCTTCCTTTGAGTTCTTACTTTATTATTTTAGTTAATAGCCATCATCTACTACCACTTAGTTGCTCAAATTATAAATCTAAGCATTATCTACTCTTTTTTCTTCCAAATTCCTTCACCCACATCCAGTTAATCTCCTAGGTCTTAAAATATTACCTCCAAGAGGTAAAATACATATATTTCCTTTTCCTAGAACTTCCTCACCATTCACTACCTCCTTTACTCTGCCTAATTAACTCTTGACTCCTCAAAATTCAGCACAGGAGTCTTGATGTCATCTCTGGTCCAGGCTGAATTCATCTAGGCTACATGACTGATACTATGGGCTTTCTTCTATTATAGCCCTTAACACATGGTAGTATAATCATGAATATAAGTTTTCCCTACTGGAGTATAGTCTTTCTAAATATCAGGCTCATAACCTTCACATTGGTAACCTTGATGAATAGCATAATAATAACTTTTTTTTTTTTTTTCTTAGAGACAGGGTCTCACTCTGTCACCCAGGCTAGAGTGCAGTGGTACGATCTCAGCTCACTGCATCTTCCACCTCAGGAGGTTCCTCCCACCTCAGCTTCCTGAGTAGGTGAGACTATAGGCACGCACCACCATGCTTGGCTAATTTTTGTATTTTTTTTTTAATTTTTTTTTAATTGCATTTTAGGTTTGGGGGTACATGTGAAAAACATGCAAGATTGTTGCATAGGTACACACATGGCGGTGTGATTTGCTGCCTTCCTCCCCTTCATCTATATCTGGCATTTCTCCCCATGCTCTCTCTCCCCACCTCCCCACCCCCCCATCCCTCCCCCATTTCCCCCCAACAGACCCCAGTGTGTAGTGTTCCCCTCCCTGTGTCCATG